TGCACCTAATTTCCCAGGAATAAGGGCTTGGGCAGCAGCATTTGTAGGAATAATTACGAAAAGCACGTTATTAGGGTTACAGTTAGCCTGACTCTTGCTAACAAACTGTCATGCATTGCATCCCCTTCCTGTCAGTTCTTTCTCTACTTCCACACCTGGGACCTGGCAGCGCTGGCGTCCTGGTGGGTGAAGAGGCTCCCTGGGGGCAGGCATCCTGCTGAGCCCCCTGCCCAGCCCCCACTCAGCCTGTCTGCCCCTCCCCACAGAACGACCTGGGTGGGCAGCGGAGCCTGGTGAACAAGTGGACAACGTTCCTGAAGGCCAGGCTAGTGTGTTCAGTGCCAGGCAGCGACGGGGGCAGCACCTTCTTCGACGAGCTCCGTGAGTGGCGTGGGGTAGGCGCCAGCTGCAGGATCACTGCCTGGGGTGGCGGGTGCTCTGTGACAGGGCATGTGGGGAGGCTGCGTGCTGGGGAGGAGGGCTGGTCACGTCAAGTGGGGGGAGGTATTGGCGGAGGCAACATAGGCAGGGGGAATGTGTGCCTGGGGTGGGGGGCTGATCAATGACACACCCATCCCTCTCTGCCACTCACAGGTGACGTCTTCCTGCTGAGGACGAGGGACACACGGAACCCCCTACTCTATGCCGTCTTCTCCACCTCCAGGTACGGCGAGGCCCCACTAACACCCACCCCCCCAGCGCTGCCCAGCCCACCCAGTTCCATGCTGCCCCCCCCAATGCCCAGCCCCCCAGCCAGCTCTGCGCCAATCCCCAGCTCACCTGCCCTCCCCCTCAAGCGCCTGCCTCCCCATATGTCCCCCCAGCTCACTCTCCCACCAGCCAGCTCCACACTGATCCCTCTGCTCACCCAGCCCCTCCCATGCGCCCAGCCCCCTCAGCCAGTTCATCCAGCCCCCCCCAGCTCATCAGCCTCCCCAGTGCATCTGGCCCCCCAGCTCATTTCCTCCCCCCCCAGCCAGCTCCACGCTGCCCCTCCACGACCCCTTCACCAGAGCACCCACAGGTTCTGCAGCTGGACCTGGTGTAGGGGGGTGCTCAGGGCCAGGGACCCATAGTTCTTCCCCTCCTGCCCCATGCCCACTCTGACCCCTTCTCCCTGTTCCTCTTGCCCTTCCCCCACTCAATGCCCCCTTTGCTTCCAGTGCCCCGTGCCCCCCTTACGCCCTTGCCTGTTGCTTTCCCTGCAGCTCGGTGTTTAGGGGCTCCGCCGTCTGCCTGTACAACATGCACGACATCCGCCGAGCCTTCCTGGGGCCCTTCGCTCACAAGGAGGGGCCCAACTACCAGTGGGTATCGTACCAGGGCCGTGTGCCCTACCCTCGCCCGGGCATGGTACGTGTCGTAGTCCCCAGCTGGCCGGGAGGGACGCAGGGCAGGGGGCTCCCCCTGCAGCCAGTGGGGATCAGGCGCCTCCCCCAGCGACGTCCCTCAGCAGGGCTATGCAGCTGCCCGAGCCCCTCGATACCTGCAGCCCTGCATCATGCCCCAATCCTGGACCCCTTTTGCTCGGAGCCTGGTACCTCGGTGCCCACACACAGCTTTGCCAGCCTGACCTGGGGGGAGAGTCCACCCTGCCCCCGCCAAGAGGCCTGTGGGGGCAGGGGGTGGCCAGCTGTGAGAGGGGTCTGGGCAGCAGGGAAGGCTCAGCTGCTGTCAGTGCTCTGCAGGATGCAGCAGAGCCAGGGCTGTGTGCCAGGTCTCAGCACCAGTGGATTTGGTAGGGAGCTCAATGCCCAGCGCAGAGCGGGTCCATTAGCCAAAACAAGCCGCCACCCTCACCCAAAGAGAAATGACTGAGCTGGCTCTGGCCAAGGGGCCCGGAAAGGATGAACCACAGGGGCTGCGGGTTGGGATTGACAGGCACCAGCAGAGCTGTGTGCGGGAGGAACCCAGGGCTGGGATAGCAGGGAGCTGTGGGTCGGGAGTGAGGGGCACTGGCAGAGCTGTGGGGGAGCCCAGGACTGGGATAGCAGGGGACTACTGGTCAGGAGTGAGGGGCACCGGCAGAGCTGTGGGGGAACCTGGGGCTCGGAGGGCAGGGGGCTGTGGGTCGGAAGTGACGAGCAGCAGCGTCTCATGTGCCGTGGCCCGTTCCCCAGTTTTCCCCAGCTGACCTCGCCCCTCTCTGCCCCCTCAGTGCCCCAGCAAAACCTTTGGCACCTTCAGCTCCACCAAGGATTTCCCCGACGATGTGATCCAGTTCGCCCGCAACCACCCACTCATGGCCAGCCCCGTGTTGCCACACAACCAGCGGCCCATTTTCCTGCAGACCAGCGGGGACTACACCTTCACCCACATCGCCGTGGACCGGGTGACGGCCGCCGACGGGCACTACGACGTCCTCTTCATTGGCACAGGTGCACCCGCTGCCCTTCCCAGACCCAGGTCGCTCCTGCCAGCCGCAGATTTCCCTGGAGCCGTCGCGGGCGGAGCCCGGGACCTCTAATGTTTCACCCACGCCGCACGTGCCCAGTGAGCACCTGGACTGCCCCAGCTGCCCTGAGGCCCTCCTGCAGCGCAGGGAGCTGGGCATGTGGCTAAGTGCAAGGACAAATAGGGGAGCGACAGTGGCTCAGTGACTGGGGTTCTGTTCCCTGCCCTGGCACTGGCCTGCTGGATGAGTCCTCCGTTTCCCCTCAGTAAAATGAGGATAACATTACTGCCCCGGCTTGAGAGCTGTGGGGGCTGAGAGTAAGGGGGTTATGCTGGCCTTGCTCACTCTAAGCCATGACTGTGACCCCTTGGCTTCCCTGGGACTGCCTTTGCCAGTCAGGGCCCCCTTCTCTCGATGCCCACGTACAGATCTGGGAGGTTGACCCTGGGCAGTGGGGTCCTGGGCCTGCGTCTCTTCCGAGCCGGGTGTGAGTGTGTGGGAGCTGCCCAGGGGTGGGACATCTCAGCTGTGGATGTTGTCATGCCCTGTCACCCCCTCCTTCCCTTCCGGCAGACGTTGGCACGGTGCTGAAGGTGGTCTCGGTGCCCAAGGAGAGCTGGCAGAACATGGAGGAGCTGCTGCTGGAGGAGCTGCAGGTGTTTAAGGTAGGACAGTGGGCAGGGCAGGGAGGTGCTGGGGGCCTGATTTTCCCCCCCCCCCCCCCCCC